CGGGCGGGGGTGCCTATATCCCCGGCCCGAGCCGCAGGAAGCCGCGCCGCTTCCTCGGAGGGGCTGGGACGGCCGCGGCCACGTGGGGGGCGGGGGCGACGCCCGGGGCCGCGGTCTGGAGGGGGAGTCGTGGCCGCACCCCGCTCCTGGCGCCCGGGCTCCCTCCACCTCGCCGGCGTCGCCCCCTCCCTCTCTTCTGGTCACCCTGCGGGGCTGGACAGCTCCTCTCGTCACCCCTGAATCGGGACTCATTTCCTGGGCTCTTCCTCGTGGAGCTCGCCGGGATGTCCCGGCATCCGTTCCCGGACTCTAGTCGCCCCCTTTCTTTCGGGACTGGGGCGGGAGGGAGGCTGTGCTTCAGGACCTGGAGAAGAGGAAGGGGGCTGAGAGCTCGGAGGGCCTCTCGACGTCGCAGGGGTGTCCTGGGCTGTGGGGGAAGGGGCGCCTGGAGCTGGGCCCAGCGGCTCAGAGTTGCTTTTCCCTGGGAACACCCACTGATGTCAGCCCGCCTGCCAACGCTGGGGAGAAGAGGGAGCCGGCCCTCCGAATGGGAAGAAGGCCTGGGAATAGGGGGAGAGGGAAAAAGCAAAGCCCAAATATCTTCCCTTTAGGTATCTCTTGGGGTCTAGAGGGTGGAAGGGGCAAAACTGGGATCCCTACATTCCCAGGAAGAAGGTGGCCACAACTCTGGAAGACCAAAGTGGTGAGAAGGGAGGGAAGGGGGTTGGGCCTCATTCATGAGGGTGCATATCATTATCCCCATTTTACAGAGGAAGAAATTATAGCTCAGGGAAAGAGCTCAGAACTTGAGGTCAGATACTCTGGGCCCTAACTCTACCTTCTTACTCCTGAGATCCATAACCATGGTGACTCATTTGTCTTCGGATTATCAGTTTCCTCTAGTGCAAGACAGGGACATTTCCCTCCCTACCAAACTGTAACAAGGATGAGATGTGGGGAGGACATTGCACTCACTCAGCAAATGCTGGTTTCCCCTCTTCCTTCCCTAAGTGATCTGCCTAACTGCCACACTGCTAAGAAACAGCAAGGTGCGACCTGGGTCCCCAGGGGCCCTGACTTCTGCTCCATCACAGCTGCCTTTGTGTCCTGGGCCAGGGCTTCATTAGCCTGGAGCATCAGAGGAGCCCCAGGAGTTAGGATAGCCATGATGTTCAAGTCCCAGACACAGCTGTCAGCACGGAACTTTCCTAAATTACTCCCAGACACTGACCCTTGGACTCAGCTGCTGCTATAGTTCCAGTTTGCTGATTCCTCCTCACAGGCAAATTATCTTTCCTCATCTCTCTCTTTTAAAATCTTCAGTTCAGGATCTCAGGCTCTCAAATTGTGGCCACTGATAACCTTTTGTCTTCCTCTCTAGCTAGAGTCCAGAGGTTGCTTTAGCAAGGCATCCAGAGGGAATGGTGTTAACTTAACCTCCAAGCCCTCCTATTGAGGGGAGCTCTGGTAGCATGGTGCCTAAGGCACTTGACTGCTAACCAAAAGGCTGGCGGTTCAAACCCACCAGCCACTCCTCGGAAGGAAGATGGGGCAATCTACTTCTGTAGTGATACTGCCTCGAAAACCCAAGGAGGGGTCGTTATGAGTTGGGTCCGACTCGACGGCACACAACAACAACAACAACCTCCTATTGAGGGGCATCTACTGGAGTGATGCAGAAAAGAGCCAGTCAGCCTTCAGGCTAGGGACAAAATCCCATCCCTTCTCTCCTACCCATAACTGTTGTCAAGAGAGAGCTTTCTGGGTAATAAGATGGTAGGAGGCAGCAAGGTAGGGCAAAAAGCAAAACCAGCCTTTTCCATCGCGCTAGCTCTGGTGGCATAGTGGATAAGGCATTTGGCTGCTAACCAAAAGGTCAGCAGTTCAAACCCACCAGCTGCTCTGCAGAAGGAAAATGGGGGCGATCTGCTTCCATAAAGATTTACCACCTTGGAAACCCAATGGGGGTACTATGAGTCAGCATCGACTGGATGGCAGTGAGTTTAGTTTGATTTTCTGAGGGCAAGAAGTACCTGAGCCTATCAGGTAAGCCTCAGGTTGGGGTCAAGATAGAGACTGAAAGATTAAATGTTATATTAGAAATAGGGCAGTATAATTTAGTGGACAAACAAACAAACATTGGTTAGGATTCTAAAGGCAGGTCTTGCTCCTTCTGTCTTGTTTACCCTTGGATAGGTCACTTTATATCTCTGGTCCTCAACATTTTCATATATAAAGTGACCTTAGAATCAAAAGGAAAGTATAGATGACTTGGTTGTTGTTGTTGTTAAATGTCGTCGAGTCATTTCCGACTCATAACGACCCCATGCACAGCAGAACGAAACATTGCCCGATCCCGCGCCAGCCCCACAATCCCTGCTATACTTGAGCCCATCATCGCAGCCACCGTGTCAATCCATCTCGTTGAAG